AATTTACTATACCACCATAGACATGGTTTTCTTCCCATCTGTCCTGCTTGGAGTTTGCTGAGCTTATGGAATCTATAAATTTAGGAAATTTTCTGTTACCATTCCCTTATTGTTCTACTTATTCTCCTTTCCTTCTAGAATCTGACATGTCAGATTTTTTTCATATGGTCCATAGATTACTAAGCCCCAGTTCCATTCTTGTCCCTTCCCCCTCCCTCAAATGTTTTTCTTCCTCAGATTGTGTAATTTCTAATTACCTGTCCTTATCTTCACATATTCTTACATCATATCCAATCTTCTGTGAAGTCTTTCTGCTAAATATTTTGGTCATTTCCTTTTCTAGCTCTAGAATTTTCATTTGGTTCTACCCCTCCCCCCATTTTCATCTTTCTATTGTTCTTTCCTATTTATCTACTATTTATAAGGCTTTTTGGTTTGTTTGTTGGTTGGTTGTGGGGGCTGAACTCTGGGTCTGGGTGCTGTCCCTCAGCTCTTCAGCTCAAGGCTAGCGCTCTACCACTTGAGCTACAGTGCCACTTCCAACTTTTTTCTTTTTGCTTATGTGGTGCTGAGGAATCGAACCCAGGGCCTCATGCATGCGAGACAAGCACTCTACCACTGAGCCAACTTCCCAGCCCAGGTATTTCTTCTTTTGAGCATGATTTTAATAACTTACAAAGTTTTTCTTTCCTAACTTCATCATCTAGGCAATCTTGAAATTAGCCTGAACTAGTTGTCTTCTTTCTTTTGTCTGGTAATTTTGAATTTTTATCTAAGACAATGTAAAGGATACATTGCAGAAACTGGATTCCTTTCTATTCTTCCAATGAATCTTGATAGGATGTTACCTAGTCCTGCCTCAAATGCAAACATCCCTGTGCTTGGCAGCAGCTGAAATATTATTGTTTTTTTCCTATGCCAGAACCTCTAGGATGTGCCTTACATATGAGCAGAGTGTGAGTGGAATTCTGTAGCATCTTTTGCAGAATTTGAAACTACTTTTTTTGCCATCCCTTAGCTTTTTCACTCAAGGCTGATGCTCCTGTCACTTGAGTGATAGTTCCATTGCTGGCTTTTTGCTGCTTAATTATAGATAAGAGTTTTTTTCTGTCCTGGCTGGCATTGAACCACAATCATCAGATCTCAACCTCTTGAGAAGTTGGAGTTAAAGGCACAAGCACTCAGCTAGAATTAGTTTTTAATTATGAATCAGCTTCTGTAGTGGCACTGATTTCTTAATCAAAGTTTGACTTTACTCAAAGTATGTAATGGTCTGGGGATATAGGTTAATAGTAGAACACTTGACTAACAAGTGCAAAACCCTGACTTTGAACCTCAGCACCAACAAAACAAAACAAAAACAAACAACATCAACAAACCAAAAGTATTAAACAATGCCCAAGACTGAAAAATGCTCTTCCAAGCCGAGTGCTGGTGGTTTACACCTATAATCCTAGCTACTTGGGAGGCTGAGATTTTAGGATTGTGGTTTCAAGCCAGCAGGGGCAATGAAAGTCCGTGAGAATCTTATCTCCAATTAACCACCAGAAAAGTAGAAGTGGAGCTGTGGCTCTAAGTGGTCGAACCCTAGCCTTGAGCAGAAAAAAACCTCAGGGACAGCACCCAGGCCCTGAGTTCAAGCACTACAAACAACAGAAAGAAAAAAAAAAAAAAACACAGATTTGCATTCATTTCCCCCATATTCCTTTCTCTAACCAAGTAGGGGACAACAGCTAACTGATGTACTTAAGATGAAAGTGGATATATATTCCCATTTGAAGCTGCCTGCTTTTCCAGGTAGCTAAGTGTGGGTAGTAAGGCTGGCCCCTCCACCCAGAGGCTTTTAGCAAGGTAACCTAACTTCTTTTTTTTTATACATCCTGTAAGCTGGCACAGGGAAGTCAGTCTGTAATTAGAAGGTTATTGAAAATAGAGATTTGTGATTTGGCAAACTGCCACCTGTTGGTACCTGGGACACAGTAAAGACCCTGCCCAGCCTTTTGTCTCTAGGTGGGTCTGGTTTACTCAAGGCCTCTGGTTTCCCCAGACTGCTTGGGTTCACATGATACCACCCTAAGAGGGGTGTGTGGCCCCATTCAGACCTCAGCATTGTTTGGGAATCTCATTTAAAAATGATACATCTTACCAACTGTGAAGTTCTTTACTGTAAAGCCAATCATTCTGAGTTACAAGTGTAACTGCAGCTCACCTCATTATAAAAGCACCAGGTGCTCACAACCTCTGGGTCAAGTTTTGAACAAGAGGAAATAAGAGGTCTTTGTGTAAAGTGAATAAAAGCTAGGGGACAACACACCACCATCCTTAAAAGTTCTTAATAGCCCAAGAAATGCAAAGCTCTGAAATTGGAGACTGGTAATTTACAACAGATTTGAGAGTACACTTATAATAAGCGCTGACTGAATACCTACTGTTTTGACAGCACTCACCTCAGATGCTAAGGCGATCAAGTGGGGCCAGGGCTCAGAACTGTCATTACCTTTTTTACATGTTTCCTCAGGCCTGGGCCTCTGCTTTCCCTGCTTACTGCTTAATCTACTCACTTAAAGCACTATGACAGACAGAAAATTGAGGCACACTTGCATTCTCATTTACTGGTACCTGTAAAGGAAATGCCTATTTAACATTACAAACACACATATATATGTATATGCATATGTACATATTTATATTTCAACTATTAATTATTATTATGAAATGTGACAGATACAAAGAAAACCCACAGAAACTAAAATTATAAAGGATATCCATGTACCCATATTTACACCTTGACCAGTTTTCCATATCTGATACAGTTTTTATTTTCATTTTTTATTTTCTTTTTGTTGTCCGTGGGGCTTGAACTCTGGGCCTTGGTGCTGTTCCTCAGCTCTTCAGCTCAAGGCTAGCATTCTACCACTTGAGCCACAGTGCCACTTCCCACCTTTTCTGCTTATGTGGTGCTGAGGAATCGAACCCAGGGCCTCATGCTTGCAAGGCAAGCACTCTACCACTGAGCCACCTTCCCAGCCCATAGTTTTTATTTTTAAAGGCAACATTCCTTATACAAAAGCTTCACTGCCATCTCTCTCCTTCCCTAGAGCTTAACTTGTATCTCATTGTGGTTGTCTGTTATGTATAGGGAATGTTCCTTACAGATGTCTTTCTTCCTTCTATCCTTCTTGTGTCTGAAATAGTCAAATTACTAGAATCAAGTTAAATAGTAGGTAGGTGCAGGGGGCTGGAGGGAGGAGGAAGTGAGAAGTTGGAATTGAGTAGTAATCAACCTAAACTTTCAGTGACCCAAAATGTGTAAATTCTGAAGATATGTACTACAATATAATATTCTTTCAAATTTGCTGAGTGTAGATCTCATGTTAAATATTTTTACCAACCATAGTAAAATAAAATTACTAAGGACACACACGTTAGAAGAAAATATGTTACTTGTAACTCACTGAATTGAGGTTTGAGAGGTTTGAACCAGCAGTGTAAGTAACTGGTGGGCTTTACTAACTAGCCAAAAATTTCTTCCACTAATGGTGGGTGAGTAGTTCCCCTTACCAACTCTGGGTCTCACCAGATTTTAAAGTTTTGTCCTTCAGAACAAAACGGTAGCATCTTGTTTTAGTCTGCTGTTTTCCTCCTTGCTAAAAAGATTATCTTTGTCAAAAATTATTCTTTCAAAAACATGTAAACCAAGTTATTTTGGAGTGCCTGCGAGGGACTAAATTTTCTTGTCAGAACCTTTCTTTCACGGGCAAAGTGATTTTAGCTTCCTTATTTTATGTGACCAGCAATAACAAATGCTCCTATATGCATAAGCTACTTCTAAAGACATGGCATGGAAGTTACTTTTAGTTCATCCTACATTTGGTTATTATCCAGCAAGTATTTGTTGAGGAGCAGTTAGGACTAGTGGTGTCGCCAGACAGACTACCAGCCAGTTCCGGGAGCCTGCTCTGGAGACCGGGGAGTTCTTTGTCTCTAGCCTGGGTTGCAGAGGAGCAGGGGCGGCTCCATTGTTGTGTGCATTATTTACTTACAAGTTTTTACAGTGCACATATCCTGAGGAACTCTGTCTACGCACGCTCTCTTCACCCTCAAGGAATTAAGTCTCCAAAGAAAAGTTTTCCAACAGAAGGCAATGCGAATGTTTTCACCTAAAGCGCTTATTTAAAAGTAATATTATAATTAAGGTCTTTTAAAGCAACCCGATTTTTTTTTTAAAAGGTGCTTTGCTAAACACACACACACCCCTTCCCTCTCCTCCGTCCTTATGCCAGATTTGATGAAAGGGCATGAAAAATAGCTCTGATTCAGATAACTCCAAATTCCGACGAAAGATGCGTCACCTTGATGCACTCCACGGTTTATCTCCAGCAGATGACCCCTAAAGCCATTTTTGATCCTGCAATGGCCGGGGGTGCTGGCTCAGCGGAGGTCTGCGGCCACGCGTTCGGCCAAGAGCAGAGTTTTACGCATTTTATCATTTCGGGGACTACCTCAGTTGCCAGATAAAAAGTGTTACACCCAGTGACCCTAGAATCTGCAAATAAAGGGTGGTGCTCTAGGCAGATTCGGGGACAGTTATCTAATTTTTAAAGCCATGTCAGGTGGCAAAGTGCCCAGTGCGGTTCTCCATTACCCCCACCACGGCTGCCCCCCCTGCCCCGCCCCCGCCAGCTCAGGAATTCATGCAAATCAGCCAGCTAGCCCCGGGGCCATCCGAACCAGTTTCGCGCCACTCGCTGAGGACCGCACAGCTCTATAAAGAGACGGATCCTTGACGTCTCCAAAGAGTGCGTTATAAAAGCAGATATTAGAAGTTCTCAACGCTATTCTCTGAACTTACACATAGAAACGGCTTAAGTCTTTTTTTCTGTGCCAGAACCTGTCTTCTACGGGGTTCCGCTGTTACCTCAGCTTTCAGGACCTGCACTCTAACGCGGGAAAGTCGGCCTGCGCCCCGCCCCTCGGGACCAGGTCGGTGCGCCCCGCCTGCGGACCGCGCGGCTCGGGAGGCTCCGGCTCGGTTGCATCCCGGTCCCCGGCCCTCTGCAGCGCCGCTTTCCCTGCTCTGAGCGATTGCCTGGGTGCAGGTCGCCAGCATGAAGGCCCGCGGAGCGCTGGTGAGGGTAGGGTGGACGATCTCTAGGGCGGGCCGACCCTGGGGTGGGCGAGGTGGGCGCTGGATGGGCTCGGGCGGGGGTGAGCTCCGTCTCAAGCTTGTGCTGCTAATGCACTGGCGACGGTTCTGGGCGTCGCCAGCGGCAGCTCATGGCAGGTTTTGTGCACTTTTGTAACGCGGGGCCAAGGACCATCCGGTCGGTGCGCACGGCTGGAGGAGGAAGCGGGTTTGTGGGGTGGTTGGCAGCCTTGGGGAGCCGGAGGCACGTGCTCCGGGGATGCACGTGCGCGCCGGAGGGGGAGGTGGAGGCTGCGGGATGGCGTCCCCGGGCGGGGTCTCTGCACGCCAGGCTCCCTGGGACGTCGCCCGGGGCCGCCTAGGCGCAGCGGCGTGGCTTTCCCGGGGCGGGTGAGTGACTTCCTGCGCCCCGAGGGTGGGTCTGGGACACTGGGCCCCCGCGGCCCTGTTAGGAGTTCCCGGGGCGTTGAGGACTGGCTCTGTGGTCCTGGCTGGCCTCCAGCTCCGATCCTCCTGCCTCTGTATCCCCAGCGCTGGGATTACAGCGCGGTTCAGATTCAGAGGTTTTGAAGTTTAACGTCTCAGCAAAGGCATCTCTTTAGAACTCGGTTTACGCAGGGGAAAGGTCGTTATTTCGTCCCAAATGTTGCCTAAGGGTAGGTAAAGGGTCTGGTGGTCCCGACCACACTCGACTCCACCTCCAAACTCACTCGCTGTGGTGAGTGAGCGTCGAATGTAACGGAAGCCAGAATATCCTTTCAGCCCTGGAGTGGGTAGAAGAATGGGTCTTGTGAGGTGTTTAGCCAAATTATTAAGGTTAGGGAAGTCTGGGGTAGGTGTGGGGGCATGGTTTCAGGTGGAACTGGGCCTTGCTTTCAGGTGTTCTGGTTTGGAATCTGTCAATCTAGTTAAAATTTGGGTATCTACGTGAGTGACTTGAACAATCTGCTTCACCTCTTCATGCTTAGGTTCCTCACTTGTTAAGTGAGAGTAATGATAGCACGTTTTGTTGCAAAGAATTAAGCATGGCTTGTAAGCATTATTTACATAATGCCTGGCTTGCAGGAAACACCCACAGCAAAAGAAGTTATGCCTGCCAAAACGTTCTGCTTAGCCAGGGCCACTAGTTTTGCTTCTTGCTAAGTCTTTTCCTCCTAGGTAAATTTGTTTGGCTGATAATCCTTGGCCTGACCTAACTAGTTAAAGATCAACATGTATGCCCTGCCCCCTCCCCCAGAGCTTCCAATAAAGGCTTTCCTTGGGGCTATTCCTGGACCTCTTGATTGGACTGGTAGATTGATGCGGAACCCTGTGCTTGGAACCTGCTATTTGAGGAGATGAAAGACTTTTTCAAGTTTCCTTCCAACACTATAGTGTTGTGCAGTCTTGTTTCACCTTCCTTCCTAGGGCCTTGAATTTCCTCTTCTGAAAAGGTGAAATGGGGACTTTATTGAGATGCCTTTCCACTCCCAATGCTGTTTCCTGTTTACTTTATACTTGGTAGCTCTACCTACTTATCATCAATTTCCTATCTTCCTTGGAAAGACATTCTTAAAATGAATGGTATCTACTTAGCAAAGGGAAGTTGAGCTACTTCTATCATGAAAATAACTTGGTTGCCAGACTGAAATTGACAGTGTAAGGTGAAGGAAATTAAGGCTGTTGGTGTACCTGAGGCCTTAGATGTTAGCATTGTTTTTGTAGGGTGTATATCAGGACTCCCTGCTACTCCATGGCTCTCTTTAAGAAAATAAAAACAGCCGGGTGCTGGCAGCTCATGCCTAAAATCCTAGCTACTCTGGAGGCTGAGAGCTGAGGATTTTGTTGGGGTGAAGGGGTAAGAAGTCCTTGAGACTCTTATCTCCAATAAATTACCAAAAAACCTGGAAGTATCTCAAGTGTAGCTAGCCTTGGGCAGAAGAAGCTCCGGGAAGGGAGGCTGGGAGCCAGTGGCTCATGCCTGTAATCCTAGCTACTCTGGAGGCTGAGATCTGAGGATCGAGGTTCAAAGCCAGCCTGGGCAGCAAAGGCTGTGAGACTCTTATCTCCAATAAACCACTAGAAGACTGGAAGTGGCGCTGTGGCTCGAGTGGTAGAGTGATTGCCTTGAGCTGAAGAGCACAGGGACAGCGCCCAAGCCCAGAGTCAAGCCCCCCACCCCCAACAAAAAAAGCTCAGGGATGGCACCCAGGTCCTGAGTTTAAGCCCCAGGACTGGCACCAAAAAAGAAAAGAAAAAAAAAAAGCATACGTGCAACTCTTAAGACATTACATAAAACCAGGTTCTAATGGCTCATGCCTGTAATCCTAGCTACTTTGGAGGCTGAGACCTGAGGATCAGGATTTGAAACTAGTGAGGCCTACTGTTTTCTCTATCTCTAATTAATGAACAAAATGCTGGACTGAAGGTGTGGCTCAAGTGGTAGAGCCCCAGCAGTGAGCAAGAAGGCTGAGTTAACAGTTCAGAAAATAAAAGGAAGTCATGGGGAGCCCTAGGCTGGAGGTATGGCTCAAATGGTAGAGCACTTGCCTAGCAAGCCTAAGCCTCTTGAGTTCAAACCCTGGTATTATACAGACAACAAAATCACATGAAATATGACTAAATGGCAGAAATTTTTATCATTTTTACGCAAGTTGCATTTTCTGATTAACAGTTCAGGGTTGTTAAGTGAACAAATAAAGCATTTTTGCATTAAGTAATTTGACCTTATAAGACTTTGGTCTCTGGACCACAAGTTTCCTTTTCTCTCGTTGTGCTAGGAATTGGACCCAAGGTCTCATGTATAATAGGCAAACAACCACCCCTGAGCCATACCACTAGCCCTACCCCTAAAAAGTTAGGTCTTGTAGACCCAGAGGCCTGTATAGGAGCTGAATGAAACCTAGACTAGTTTGCTACTAAAATATAATCCAGTGAAAGACCTAAATTTGGAGTGCTGTTTGACCTTTCACTTGGTGTTTTGTACCCTATGTTTACTGGATTGATATATTTGCTATGTAAGGCTTTGTCCCCTTCCTTGGTTGGAATGGGGCCCATTTGGAAACCTGCCTGCCATCTTGAAGCAGAGGTCCTGCCCAATTTCTGTAGTTTGGGAAATTAGCGTCACAGTACAGAGCCCACAGCTTATAGAAAAAGACCTCATTAGCTTGGTTTTGGCTGAGGGAGAAAAATGGCTCTGCCATTTTGTATTTAGGAAATTTCCTTGTAGAAGTACTGTTCAATTAAAAAAATGAGGTTGAATTTTTGGAGTTTTGTATTCAACTCTTCTGGAGCTCAGCCTAATACTAAGAGCTTAGGGGCTCCTTGAGGTGGGAAAATGGGTAGCTCTGCAGATATTTGAATAAACTAATAAATACCATTAAAATGTTCTTCAAAAGGATTCTTCAGATTTGATCTGAGTTTGGGCTTTTTTTTTTCTCCCCAGCAATTGTAAATCTTCCTTTTTTGTCTGTAGGGCATGAGAGATGAACGTGTCTGCTCTACTGTTTAAACCTACTAAACTAAAAAGTGCTATCTCCAGTTAGATCCCACAGTAGGCATGCCACTTAATAGTGTTGCCATTTCCATTTGCAGCAAAAGGATGTCAGAGTAAAGAACGTAAAGAAATTCAGCTATATGAAGTTGATTTCCATGGAAACCTCGTCATCTTCTGATGACAGTTGTGACAGCTTTGCTTCTGATAATTTTGCAAACACGGTAAGTGCTGCCTGAGAATAAACAGAATTGCGTCTGCAGTGCTCAACATACCCCCCCCCCAACACTTTGTGCATGATTAAAACTGCTTGCTTTTTGCCTACATTTCTATACAGCCCTTAGGAAAATACTGTACGCACTATAATTTCATTTCACTTTTTGCTGTGGTTCTAGGTAGTAATTGTTGGAGGTAGATTAGCTACTTATTCTATCCTTTTGAAATGTCGACTAACCTAACATGCCTGATGATTTGCCATAACAACTCAGAAGTCATTTGTAAACCTCTGAGCCATTTTTCCTTTGTAACAAAAGCTATTCTCTTGTAGTGCACTTGTAAATGTGATTTGCTCTCTGCACAGTTTATGGAAAATGGGTTCTTGAAAAGAAAAAAAAGCAGGGAGAAAAAAATGCACAACCACATTTATTTATTTATTTTACAGAAACCTAAATTCAGGTCAGATATCAGTGAAGAACTGGCAAATGTTTTTTATGAGGACTCTGATAATGAATCTTTCTGCGGCTTTTCAGAAAGTGAGGTGCAAGATGTGTTAGAGCATTGTGGACTTTTACAGAAAGCAAGGCCAGATGTCACTAACGAGCTGGCCAGTGGTTTTCATGTCGACTCTGCTGATGAACCTCATTACACTTTCTCAGAGAGTGAGAGGCAAAATGAAATGGTGAGTCTGAGAATTTCACCGCTGTGAAGAAGCAGGGGACATTGGTTGACAGGCAGGAGATACTTGACTTTTTAGAAACAATTTTTCATGTGACTGTCAAGACTTTTATTGACCTTTTTAAGCTGCCTCATGTTTAAAACTGATTTTAACTAATGTCTTACTTATAAGTCTTAAACATTTAATAGGATCTGACCATCTCAGAAAGTTAGTAAATAAAGTTGGTCGGTTTTCAGATTCCTACTCTCTCAGAGATCTAGCCTAATCCAAGAGATCACCCCTGTCCTAACTATGAGCTGGGCATTAGATGCCCAGCCCAGTACTTGGTACAGAGCAGGTCTTAGATCAGGACTGATTTTATGGTAAGCTCTATTTGCTTCTGAGAGCTAGTGAGACTCCTGAGGAGAGGCTGTAACAGCCTTGCCTGTTTCTCTCTGCTTGCTTCTCTGGGCTGTTCTGGTGCATGCTCCTGCTGGTTCAGCTTGCTCACCTTGCGTACACTGTTGCTGCTGCACCCAGCCACTCCCTGAGCATGTTGTCCACCTTGCAGGGATTTGATTGTCTCTAAGACTCTTTCCAGAGGCAGCATGACATTGAGTACATCTTCTTCACTTCCAGTGCTCGGACATGAGTCCCTTGAGTGACAGATAAAAGAGTGGCAGCGCCTGACCCAGGCATGTTTTTAGCACTATTAGTTGGTGCTGAGATGTGTTCCTTCAACAAGCAATACTGGTCCAAGTTGGTAGTTGGGGTGTGTGTGCGTGTGCGTGTGCGTGTGCGTGTGCGTGTGTGTGTGTGTGTGTGTGTGTGTGTGTGTGTTGGTACTGGGTTTGAACTCAGGACCTTATTGCTGGATTGGTGCTCTACCACTCGACCCTTACCTCCAGTCTTTTTTGTTATTTTCTCAGTAGGGTTTCCTGTTTCTGTTTTGTTTTTCCTTGGGCTAGCCTCAGATCTTTTTTTTTTTTGATCTGGGTGCTGTTTCTCAGCTCTTCGGCTCAAGGCTAGCACTCTACACTTGAGCCACAGCACCACTTCTGGTTTTTTCTGCTCATGTGGTGCTGAGGAATAGAACCCAGGGCCTCATGCATGCAAGGTAAGCCCTCTACCACTTGAGCCACCTTCCCAGCTCCATAGCCTCAGATATTGATCCTCCTTTGTAGATGGGATTATGGGTATGAACCACCAAACTTCACTTATTATTGAGATGAAATCTTATTAACTTTTTGGTGCTCTGTGCCTCTTGAGTAGCTGTGTAGCCTCTGTATTTGACTTCTTTTGTATCGTTGTTGTTTTTGTTCACAGTTTTAGAATGTTTTTATCACTCCCAAAAGAAACTATCTATTCATTAATATTCACTTTCCTTTTTTTTTTTCTTTTTTGGTCTGTCGTGGGCCTTGAACTCTGGGCTTAGGCGTTGTCCCTGTGCACTTCAGCTCAAGGCGAGCACTCTACCACTTGAGCCACAGCACCACTTCCAGTTTTCTAGTAGTTTATTGGAGATAAGAGTCTCACAGACTTTCCTGCCCAGGCTGGCTTTGAACCGCAATCCTCACATCTCAGCCTCCTGAGATTACAGGCATGAGCTACCGGCGCCCGGCTTGCACTTTCCATTTTTCTTCAACATCTTTCAGTTGATAGATATTTGGATTGAATAGGCCATGCAAGTTTTTATTTGCTGTCTTTGGTGTAGTTTTTTCCATGGGTATGAAGTGATAGCTCATTGTGATATTGATTTGCATTAGGAATCCTAAATTTCTTCTTTCTTTTTCTTTTTTAAATCAGTCATGGGGCTTGAACTATGGGCCTGGGTGTTGTCCCTGAGCTTTTTTTTTGCTCAAGGTTAGTACTCTACCACTTTGACCCAGAGCACTGCTTCTCACTTCTGGTGGTTAGTTGGAGATTAGAGTCTCACAGACTTTCCTGCTCAAGCTGGCTTTGAACCACAATTCTCAATCCTCAGAACTCAATCTCCTGAGTAGCTAGGATTACAGGCGTGAGCCATCAGTGCCCAGCCTAAATTTTTTTTTAACCTTACAAAAAATGAATAGAAAACTAGACTAGTCACATTCATAGACACAGATATACGGTGGTAGCTGCCAGGGGCTAAGGTTATTTAGTAGATGTGGGCATTCAGTTTGATTTAAAAGAAAAAAAGCACATGGTGATGGGAACATACCAACAATGAGCACACTTTTAATGTCACTGAGTTACATTCATCGAAGTAGCTAAGAGGGTAAATTTTATGTTAGGTATGTTTTCTTACATCTTGAAAGATGGATTAGAGAATAGAGACAGTTTAAAATAGTAATAGTTGAAGCCAGGTACCCATGCCTCACACCTGTAATCCTAGCTACTCAGGAGGATGAGATCTGAGGATCTGTTGTTTGAAGCCAGCCCAGGCAGGAAAGTCCAGGTGATTTGTGTCTCCAGTTAACCAGCAAAAAACTGGGAAGTAGAGCTGTTGCTCAAGAGGTAGAGTTCCAATCTTGAAAAAGGTAAGGGACAGAATCTAGACTCTTTAAGTTCAAGCCCTAGTACCAGCACACACACAAATAGTTTAATACACAGTTCTTATAGAAGTCCTTTGCAAATACATACAGATCTATTTTTAAAGAAATGGGAAAGGGAGCTGGAGTTTATGATATTTTACAGAATGGTTTAGAATCCTGTGCCCAGGTAGCTCAGAACATTGTGTCCCAGACAGGCCACTACAAGCCTTTGACTTTGTTATCAGTATTGAGTTCAAATTGATTTGTTAAAGTTCCTTATATTTGAAAGTCATTGGTGAAATTTACAAGTTCTTAACAACTTAATTGCTCTGATTAAGCCAAGGCAGGAAGGCTGCAGAACCCGCAGCCAGTGCCTACGATCTGGACCTCTTCGGGTAGCCATGAAGTTCCCAGTGCGAAACACCGGGAAGGGAGCAAGCAAAAAAGCAGCACCCCTTCAGCCCCCAGAGAACTCTGCCATGGAGTGTAATTCCGACTCAGAAGATGAAAGTGGCATGAACTTTCTGGAGAAGAGGGCTTTAAATATAAAGCAAAACAAAGCAATGGTAGGTAATTGGGGTTTGAGTATGTCATAATTCTTCCCAGCTTTTCAGAAAGCAACTTGGTTATTTGTGTCCTGAGAAGAACATGGGTGCCACATTGGTTCCATGTAGAAAGGTGTTTATTTTTTATTTTATTTTTGAGGTGTTCCTTATTAGTTGTTAGTGCCTGTTGTAGGGCTTGAACTCGGGGCCTGGGTGCTGTCCCTGGGTTTCTTTTTTTCTTGTTCAAGGTTAGTAGTATTCTGCCACTTGAGCCACAGCTCCATTTCTGGCTTTTTTGGTAGTTAATTGGAAATTAGAGTTTTAAGGACATTGCTTCTCAGGCTAGTTTTGAACCATGATCCTCAGCTTTCTGAGTAGCTAGGATTACATGGATCGCCCAATAGTACCCAGCTTAGGGAGTTGTTCATTTAAAGAGTCTCACAGACTTTTCTGCTTGGGTTGGCTTTGAACTATGATCTTCAGATCTCAGCCCTCTGAGTTAGCTGGGATTATAAGCATGAGTCACCATCGCCCAGCTTTAATTATTATTATGAAGTAGTTGTGCAAAGGGGTTACAGTTCCATGTCAGGTTATGAATACATTGCTTCTTGGACAGTGTCACCCCTTCCTTTATTTTCCTCCGTTAAAAGAAAATCTCCTAAAGCTTGGGATGGATTAAGGGGCAAAAATAACAGAGTGTCATCAATTTACTAATCAAAGCTTTGGGCTGTGCTAGCATTATTTCTATAGCTAGCATTATTTCTATAGCTAGCATTATTTCTGCTCATTTTCAGCAGTTAGTCTAAACCAGTTTTTTCTGTTTAATTTCTTCCTATTCTAGCTTGCAAAACTCATGTCAGAATTAGAAAGTTTCCCTGGCTCATTCCCAGGAAGACGGTCCTTTCCAGGCGCCAGACCACCAGTAAGTGTGCTAAGTGTGCATGCTTGTGTGTATAGTATGGTGTTGGGGTAAGCCTAGGGCAGGTTTGTGTGAGACTGGAAGCTCTAGTTTATGGTCTTCCAGACAGTGGGGTGGCCTTCCCCTGCAGCCCCTTGACTCCTGTATCCCTTTGGTTACTTCTTCTCAGGGAAGGTTGAAGGTGTGTTTCTCTATGTTAGGCTTTAGCACATTTCTCCTAAATCTACCCACAGTAGATGAACAATAGATGCTCGCTTTGTTATGGCCATACTGAGGAAATTAGTCTTTGTGTTTGCTAGGCAAGCACTATTGTGCTTGTGCCATGCCCCTAGGCTTTTTGCTTTTGTTTTGTTTTCATGACAGCATCTAGTACTAGGTAGCCTCAGACCACAGTCCTACCTCTGCCTCCTGAGTAGCTAAGATAACAAATTTATACAACTATGCCTGGTGATGATGCTTTTAAGAGTTGAGAATTAAGAAAACGTAGGCAATCGCAATTTTTAAAATCAGGTTTTGGCCTAATATAATATATGATTGTATTTTGAGGAATTAACATGGTACAACTAAGGGGAATTTGCTGTGTCTGTTATAGCTCAAAAGAAAAGTTTACTTTACCTAACCAACTTCCCCAGAGGAAGCCTACTACTGTTCCTCTTTTGTGCAATGTGTGTAACACATGTGTTGTCATAGAAAAGTGCCAAGAGAGGTCATAGGGGAAAAAAAATTGAAACCTGAGATTGGTTTTTTACATATTATATAAGAAGAATAAATAGTGGAAGAGCTAAATAGAAGAAATGTCAATTACAGTGACCCTATAGCTTTTGGGCTCATTATGTGGTATAAAAAGGACAAAAGAAAAGGAAAAAGTGTAGCCTCCCTTTTTATTCTTTTTTACTTAACAGAAAATGTAGAGAAAAGGTATGAATTTTCCAAAATGCTATTTCTCTTTGCTCTGGAATAAATGAATTCTATCCTGTGTTTGTTCAGCCATCAAAGACACCTTCGAGGCGTTCCTTCCAAGGTGTGGGTTCCAGGAGGAACCCCGAGCGGAAAGCCCGACCTCTTACCAGGTCAAGGTCTCGGGTACTGGGGTCCCTGGGGGCTCTACCCACAGAGGAGGAAGAGGAGGAAGAAGATGATAAGTTTGCATTAGTGAGAAAGAAGAAGGCAATGGACAGCTACATGAACGTGAGTTCTCTGGATCAGTTATCATGTTAACTCAGATAGTTTCCATAGCCTTACAACATTAAATAGTCCAATATGAATGTTTTCCTCAGACCCTGCAGTACCACTGGTGGTGGTACATTAGCTTACTTGGTTTCTTTCCCAGGCAAGTCTGATTTTCAGCTTTTCTCAGTTGTACAAATTGTATCCATTGTGTAGTTAAATTGTCCTTACAGTAATCTTGGCTCTTGCCCTCTATCCATAAGCAACAGTCATTATCAATAAAAGGTCCTGGGAATTTCAGAGCCTGGGAAAGGGACTGAGGAACTGTCTCCTGCTTCTTGTCATATAGGATGATGACATGCCCAGGAGCCGTCGTCCTGGATCCATGACCCTTCCCCATATAATTCGCCCAGTGGAAGAAATTACAGAGGAAGAGTTGGAGAACATCTGCACCAACTCTCGCGAGAAGATATATAGCCGGTCACTGGTTAGAGCCATCTCCTTAGTGTCTGCAAATGGGAGGACTGGCTTCTGTCCCTCAGTGGTCTGGGTGCATGGGACACACGCCTGTATGTTCTTCCATACATGGAAAGAATTGTGTTATAGTGTGCCTAGGACCTAGCCCTCTGTCACTTCATTATCTGCTTGCAAGTTGAAAGCAGTTTGTTAGGAGTCTCTTAGGTGTGTATGCATTACATAGATGCTGAGATACAGTAGTATGCTAGATAAAAATGGATCTAGGTAAGTTTTTTCTGGTGTTGGAGATGGAACTTAGGCACCTGCTCATACAGGCCAGTGTATATATAACTGAGTTACACCCTCAGTCTCCCCCAAAATTAGGTTTGGTGCTGTTAACTATTATATCTGTCAATTGAGTTCACTCATCTTTTTTGATAGTTTATGTGGCCTGGCATTTACCTGTAAATATAGATGTTGAGTAATTTTTTGTGCCGTTATTGGAGCTTGAACTCAGCCTAGGTACTGTCCCTTAGCTGTATGGTCAAAGTTGGTGCTCTACTACTTGAGCTACATACAGCTCCACTTACAGCTTTTTGGTGGTTAACTGGAGATAACTGTATGGGCTGGTTTTGAACTGCAGATTCTCAGATCTCAGCCTCCTAAATAGCTAGGATTACAGATAGGAGTCACCGATGCCCAGCTGTGAAATAAAATTTAAGGGTCAAACTTTTGTATGCATTTTTGTATGGATGTTGTTTCAATGCCATTTTTTTCTCTACAAAATAGCAGTGTGTTTTTCGTTTTTATTCTCCTTGCTCTTTCTGAAGGGCTCTACTTGTCATCAGTGCCGCCAGAAAACTATCGATACCAAAACAAACTGCAGAAACCCAGACTGCTGGGGCGTGCGAGGCCAGTTCTGTGGTCCCTGCCTTCGAAACCGTTATGGAGAGGAGGTCCAGGATGCCCTGCTGGATCCGGTGGGTTTCCTGAAAGATGGCAGGGCACTAGAGGAAGGGTTTAACTTTTACTGTGCTTGGGGGTCTTGCAGGGGGCTGGGTGTGAGCAGGTTGCAGCTGAGCTGGGTCTAGAAGGGCTCACACCCATGAGGGACATTTATTCTCTTTTTCATCTTATCTCTGGTTAGTTGTACAGGACTTCTTTCTTTGGGTTTCATAAGGAAAAAAAATTAGCTGTGACTACTACTATGTTAACCAGCTTATGAGTTTTCTATTAAATAAAGGGAAAAGGGTGTTGAATGACTTGATACCTACCTAGAAAGGAGTGTGAGTCAGTAAGGTTTTGTTTCATGGTGCTTTTCACCGTTTGCCTTCAGAACTGGCATTGCCCACCATGTCGGGGGATCTGCAATTGTAGTTTCTGCCGCCAGCGAGACGGACGATGTGCCACTGGGGTCCTTGTGTATTTAGCCAAGTATCATGGCTTTGGGAATGTGCATGCTTACTTAAAAAGGTAATGGGTATTATTTTTCTCTATATGTGCCTTAATGAAAAGATACACCAGTAATTATTGCCAGGGCACAGGGCTGGAAATATCTGACTGGGCCTCTTCCTCTCTCTCCCCTGACCACCAAGATGGGCATCTGTGCAAAATTCAAGTTATACTTGAGGTGCCACATACTTGGCTATATGTATGTACATGATAACGTGTGAGTGCACATGCATATGTGTGTGCGTGTGTGTGTGTATGCTGCTACTAAGGCTTGAATTCAGTACTTCATGCTTTTGCTTTAGCTTTTTTCACTCAAGGCTAGTGATCTACTACTTGAACCACAGCTCCACACCCAACTTTTTGGTGGCTAATTGGAGATACGAATCTCCTGTCAGGGCTGGCTTCAAATCATGATCCTCAGATCTCATTCTCCTGATAGGATTATAGGCATGTGCCAGTGGTGCCCAGCTTGTACATTATAACTTAATAACATTCTTTAAAAGCTGAGTTTGGTACTCAAAGGAGAATTGCTGGTGACAAATTATACCTAACATCTTTCCTTCTCTCTTTCACAGCCTGAAGCAGGAATTTGAGATGCAAGCATAGCATTTGGAAGATTCCTCTCTGCTATCCTGATTCTTCAGTCTCTCTCATGCAGTTTTCATTTTTTGTTCTTGATTGAAAACCCAGTTTTGAATCTTGATGTTTTATAGGAAGCTCAAATCAGGTTAATCTTATTATACTCTGACTGCTGAACCATGGAAAGCATGTTGCTACTTTTCTTTGGCCCTTCAGGGGTTTTCTAATTCTCCCAGTCCTGCTGATGAGCCCCTTCCCAACAATTAGTTTCCAAATTCTTAAGTGACAAAGTCATGAAGGCATATTGCATTTAATTGGTGTTGAAATAGTCCTGGAATACACCCTGAAAAAAATCTAAGCACTTAGAAGCATATTAATGTTAACTACTTGTTTCATTGGATTCCAGAGAGCAGCCCTATAACTTGTTTACATAAAAAACAAATGGTTAATGTTAGTTGGCTTTCTTTTGTGTGTGTGACAGTCCTGGGGCTTGAATTCAGGTCCTATGTCTGTCCCTGTCATTGCTGTCCCTGAGCTTTTTGCGCAAGGTCATTTGAGTCACAGTTCCACTGCTGGTTTTCTGGTGGTTAATTGGAGATGAGCGTCTCACAGATTTTTTTGCCTGGGCTGGCTTTTAAACTGCAATTCTCAGATCTCAGCCTTCCAAGTAGCTAGCATTATGAACCACTGGCACCCAGTATTAGTTGACTTTTAAAAAATGTAATCTAGGCACAGAAAACTTAAAGCCTTGTGGGAAGTTAGGTAATTAGTTGCAGAGTTAGAATGGCCTTTGGATGTGTCTGTTGTACTCAATATAGGAGTTGCCATGCCAACATGTGGTCCCTGCTGATTTCACCCACCCTGAGCCTAAGTGGTGCATCCATACACATGGTCAGCCAGAGACTTGTGGGCAGCATTGTACTGTATTACGTTAGATGACTGTAGAAAAGATAATCGGAAAATTAGGATGGTGAAATCCAGCAACAGGCTAATTAGAATTGTTGGGGTAACTCTTGAAAAAGTTTTTTATTAATAATTAGTCTATTCTTTGCTATGTCTTGAAGAAATCATCCCAGGGGGTTGCCTTATGTTTTGGTTTTAAGCACTTTTGTAAGAATGAGAAGTGCCTTTTTGGAAATGGATAGCTTTCACCTAATTGTTAACTTACTGGTTAATGCTGACACAGTTTAAAAGTGTTCTGTCTGGCATCCTCGTGTGTGTAGCTGTTGCTGGAACCGCTCAGTGTTTGATGCTTAATTGGACCTTGCATCACTAAGTGTAAATATGGCTTTTGATCTGTAATGCTTTTATACAAAGGTTTTTATTTTAATAATAAAACATTATGTTCTAACTGGTCTGATTTTTTTAAAATCATTCTTACAGTACTTAATCTTTTTTATTATTTATTTATTTAATTTGAAAGGCCTTTTCTGCCTCTTTGAGAAGTTTCCCATTTGGCTAAAGTTTCTGGAGGTCCAGGGCCAGCTCTTTTGAACAGTCTCCTTTGATGATGTGATTAGCAGCTGTGATGAGGAAATGAAGACAGCCATTAAACCCCCCCCCACCCCACCCTGCATGTGCTTGTGAAGTTTTATAATGCCATTGTTTATCATTTGCAGACCAAAGAGTTTAGCAACTTTGTAATACTGCTTTTACCAATATCTATACTAAATGTGTGCTTGTCTTGAGGCCTGTTCTAAAATGACGTCAACTAAAAAAGACACAAAAGGTGTGATCTAAACTCATAGCTGGGAATGGTGGCATATACCTGTAATCCTAGCATTTAGGAAACAGGAGCAGGAAATGGGTTTGAGGCCTGCTTGGGCTACATCTATAATAAGACATGTCTCTAAAAGCTCCTATAACCCCATTATTTGACCAGGAATTGGCGTCTACACTGCAGACCCTGTTGAAATTTGGGGTTTTATTGTGTTTAAATTTTGTACATAATTAGATTTAGTTGTTTACCTTTGCTTTTAATGATTGTTCTGTGTATGCCATTTTTGAGGCTTGAACTCAAAGCTTGGGCACAGTCCCTGAACTTTTGTGCCCTCAGCTAGCACTCTACCACTTGCCATAGCTCTACTTTTGAGCCAACACCTTGCTGAATCCTATTTAAAAAAAAATTCAAGTTGGGCTGAGGTGATTCATGCCTGTAATCCTAAACTACTCAGGAGGCTGGGATCTGAGAATTGTGGTTCAAAGCCAGCATGGGCAGAAAAGTCCATGAGACTCTTCTCCAACTAACCACCAAAAAAGCCAGAAATAGGACAATGGCCCAAGTGGTAAAGCAAAAGAAGCTCAGGGGCAGCACTCACACGAAGTTCAAGCCCTAAGATTGATGTGTGCCTGTGTGCGTATGTGTGTGTGTGTGTGTGTGTGTGTGTGTGTGTGTGTGTGTGTGCATTTGCACAGGATTAAATTTTATCTTTTAATGATGTAAATCCTTGGATAAGTTACCTGAGTAGCTAGGATTATAGGCATAAGCCACTAGTGTCCTGCTAAAATATCTTAAGCAATAATGTGCTACTTAAGTCATGTCTGCAAAATAAGATGATTTCAGAGAAATCTAGTCCACATCGTTGTCCCTCTTTACCCTGAGTCCTCTTGCTGGGTGGATAACCATTTTAAAATAGTTTTAGGGTTTGCATTTTTATTTTTCAAAATTGGAATGGATTTATCTATTACTCTTGTAACTATATATGGGAGAGATGATCATAATAAATTTTATTTTGAAGTATACTTCCATGGATAGACAGAATTGGCTTGAAAGTTCCAGAGTAACATACAGTGGAGACCTGTTCCTGCCTTATGCCAATCTGAGCTGCTGAGGCCAGTTCCCTTTCCTCTCATGCCTAGGTGGGAGCCAGGAGCAACAGGAATCTGTCTCAGCATCTCTTATTTTTATTTGGTTAATCCTGCTTTCATAGCGATCTTCAAGTTTGTCTTCCAAACGGAATAGCTGCAAATACCTTTGTGTCTGTGTGTGTATATACATGTGGAGCTTGAACTCAGGGCCTTGAGCTCAGGCTCAGCTTTCTTGCTCATGGCTGGTGCTCTACCACTTGAACCATGATTCCAATGCAGCATTTTGCTGGTCAATTGGAGATAAGAGATTTTTCTGCCTGAGCTGGCTTCAAACCTTGATCTTCCAGGTCTCTCAGTCTCAAGTAGCTAAGATTACAAGCATGAGCTACAAATTACCATCTGATAGGACATTCAAAGAAGTAATAGCATAGGTGCTTGCCTGTGTTTTCTAGATGTGACCATTTCGAGTATTCTAATACTTAAGGAGAAAAATATGTAAATAAAATTCTGCAATGCAAATCCTCTCAGCAACTCATTGCCAGCCAAATTCTTCTCAATCATGATAAACAGATGCTACTGAACTAAAATGACTAGTTAAAATTATGGAGATAAGACTTTTATTTTCAGTGCTGGGGAGGGAAGAAAGGGTGCTAACAGTGTTGTTTGCATGTGATTAAGGCAGACACCAAGAACTCAACTGCAGCATGGGCTGGAGCTGTAGAGTTGCCCAGGTGAGGCCAAAGTTCTATTGATAACTCTTGCAAGCAGACCAGTTATAGGCTTTGAGTTCTCTGCATATGTATATTTCTTTTTCTTTTTGTGCTAGTCCTGGAGTTAGAACTCAGGGCTTAGATGCTTGAGCTTCTTTTGCTCAAGGCTAGCACTCTACCACTTGAGCCACGGCTCACCTACAGCTTCTTTCGGGGACATTAATGGAGACAAGTCTCACAGACATTTTCTGCCTGGTCTGGCTTTGAACTGTGATTCTCCCATGTAGCTAGAATTATAGGCCTGAGCCATTGGTGCCTGACTTCTGCAGTATTTTTACGTTACTGGTTTTGTGATTATTTCTCTTAACTTAAAAAGTAAACTTTGCATAACATAAAACTTAACCATTTTAACATCTTCAATCATGGGTGGTCTCTGGTCTATTTGACATGCTATACAAATATTACTATGTAATGAATGTTCTCTCCCTGGACTAGTTAAAAGTCTATCACCCATTGTCTTCTCCCCAGCTCATGCTTTCTGGTTTCCCCCATTCTGGACATGTAGAAACACATGTGTGTGGTTTGTGCCAACATGCCCAGCTTCTTCTATTGAAAAGTCTAATGGACTTTTCTGCCCAGCACTTGTTTGGAACTGTGGTTCTCCCATAGCCTCAGCCATTCATGAAGCTAAAATGACAGGCACACCCCACTGTTCCCTGCTCTGGGTTGAGAAGGGGTCTCGAACTTTTTTGCCTTTGTTTGGCCTTGAAAAGTGATTCTCAGGTAGCTAAAGTTACAGGCATGAGCCACCAGTATCTAGCTTGTATTGATGTTACTATTACATTTAAGGGAATGCTTCCCTACGTGTTGTAATCCTTGTTTGTTTTGTTTTTGTTGGTCATGGGGCTTGAACTGGACCTGGGCATTGTCCCTCAGCTCTTCAGCTCAAAGCTAGTGCTCTACCACTTGACCCACAGTATCACTTTCCAGATAAGAGTCTCACAGACTTTCCTGCCCGGTCTGGCTTTGAATCACAATCCTCAGATCTCACCCTCATGAGTAGCTAGGTTTACAGGTGTGAGCCACCAGTGCCCGGCACTTGCTGCAATCCTTGATGGCAACTTTTGCCAATTTTTGATACTTTGACCACTTCTTGGGGTTTACTGGACACTCTGTGACACTCTTATAAGCTGCATTTCACAAATAATACCCACAATCCTGCCACTCACAAGTTATTGCAGTTAATTGAATTATTCATGGGTTTTGAACATGATTATTGGTACTAAGATTATACTCAGCCCTAACCCCTGAAAACCACTTGTTTGTTTTTAATGTTTTGGTTGGTTGGGGCTTAAACTCAGGGCCTGGGTTCTGTCCCTGAGCTCTTTTTGCTCAAGGCTAGCACTTTGAGCCACAGCACGACTTCGGGTTTTCTGTTGGTTAATTGGAGATAAGAGTCTCATGGACTTTTCCACATGGGCTGGCTTTGAATCATGATCCTCAGATCTCAGCCTCCTAGTAGCTGGATTACAGTGTGAGACACTGGTGCCCAGCCTGGAAGCCTTTAACTTCAGTTTTTTTTTTTTTTAATAACTTTTGAAAAATAATTGTATTTCTTTCTTGATGCTATTTTTCTTCTTGTGGACTGGAGACTGAACCTAGGCCTTGTACTTGTACATTCTGTAAAAGTGCTCTATCACTTGAGCTATGTCCTCAGCTTCCTTTCCCCCACTCCCCATTACTGAAGTTTGGACTCAGTTTGCCTCTTGCTAGACAGGCCCTCTACCACCTGGGCCATACCTGGAGTTCTTTTTGCTTTAGTTACTTTTCAAATAAGGTAGCACGCTTATTCCTTTGGTAGTCTAGACCACGAGCCTCTTGTTTCTACTTCCCTTATAGCTAGGATATCAGGACTACAGCACCACATCCAGTTTTATTGGTTGAGATAGGATCTCACAAACTTTTTTTTTGGGGGGTCTGGTCATGGGGCCTGAACTCTGGGCCTGGGC